TAAAACTCATAATCTCTCGAACAGAAGCTTCAAACGCCATAAGATACGCACTTTTCAGTGGAATTCTAGACTTGGTCGTCCACAAACAATAACAAGACTTCGGACAGATCAAATTGGGTAGTAAAATTCTGCGTATACGTTAACTGTGCAATCTGAATACTCGAGCATTTCTAGGAATAACAGTTGACCACACAAGGATACCCTCGAGTATCGACGATTTTCCTATCTCGCTTGAGGACTTTCAACAATTCACACGACTTTCCTTCAACCATCGAAGCAGAGCCTAGCCGAGATCCCTACCAACCAACGACTACCACCTTGCCGTCATCAATCTTCAACAAGCCTCGATTAACACACTTATCTCCATCAATACAATGCTGTACTTGAAAGCTTCCAGTCGCCTCAGCAGTTAGAAGCAATAACGCGGCACAGCAGAAGCCCAATAAGATCGACTGATTAAGATGGTAGAGTACCATGGCTTTGATGACAGAAAATAAACTTCAAGTATCTACTCGCGATTACAGAACGTTATTATATCTGCAATAATGACCGCAGTGAAATGATGCTGGTATGCTCATAGTAGCAAACACCCAAACATAGTATATACCATAACACACCCAATTTAGCCCCCATTTTAACGCTTTATATCGAAACTTCTCTCAAAATTCAAACTCACAAATGATACGCTTTCTATGCACATGGTCAACTACGCGTGTTGACCACAACAATGAGGGAATTGCCACAGATTTTCAGGTTCATAATGTACCTCAGGCAACTCCCGAGCTCAGCTAATGAGACCAACTATACACTCCGACGCCGTCCACCCTATAGCCCGCTGACCCTCAACCCGCCAAGGAACTCAACACAGTATAGCACACGCACGAAAAGGCCCTATTCAAGGACCTCCACTGTGATGCTGATGCTGCTGTTGTTCTTGTCGTCTTCTCCGCTCCTCCTCTTCCTCCAAAATATAAACCGAATTGGAGTTCCCTTCAACTGGATGATTATTCCTCCGAGCCACGTAGAAAATACAGTGGAACAAGGACTGAGTACACGAAACCACTAATTTCGTGGCGCGCGGTAAAATATTACTTCTGCTAGGCTGTCCAGATTCGCCGCATAATTGGCATCCAAGCGCTTCTCTTCTACGATGTCGAAATAAACTTCCAATAATGGTCGTACCTGGGATCGAACCCGGGTGCTTCCAAAACCACGCCAATTGCTAGGAATTAAACGTGGAAGCTCCTTCACTGCGCCACAAAATGGCTCCATTATCATACCACTCCTTTACTACATCCTCCCAACTCAGCTCGATGCTGATATCATTCTTGCTCTCAGCGAAGTGCCACAACAGCGGTCCAATATTGATGAAGACTCCTCCAGGCTTTATGCAATGGGCCAGCACCCTTATATACCTACCACACCATCGCCACTTCTTGCCAATATGATACCTATTACTGGACAACGTTCTTAGCAGTGTCTATGAAGAATATAGACGCCACAGCATCCCATGCATTAAGGTGCTCCTCACCACGGAAAGTCTGAAAGTGATGTGAACTGTGTTGAAAGGGGAGCGGTAGTCAATTATTATGATATTTTCTCGTTGCATTGATCCCTGTTCCATGCCTCTTTTACTAAGAGTTACTATTATACGCCGATCGGCTCGTCTCGTTGAAGCGTTACATCAAAAGCTCCAACACTGCCAATTTCCCACAGACATCCCTCTACTTACCTCGACAAACTCTCCCGCGCTCATTCCCATCGAACCAGTATCACTACTGCACGCCATATCATAGGCTGATACGTCGGGTACCTGAATGGTACTCAACATGATACTGAGGAATACTACGAGAAAGTCTGCACAGGGGCAAGTACGTGCTACAATGACAATATAGAATTTCTCAAAGATTGTTGTTGGCTATTGCATGCTACTATCCTAGATTTACACAATGTGGTGAGGAAACTCCAGAGCTCAGCCGAGGAAAGCAACCATATACTCCAACACTGCCCAGGGACACCTCCTACAAATTTTCGTTCTTATTATTGTGAATCGAATTCCATTCAGCTTCTTGTTGCCGATCATTTACCTCGATTCCCCTGAGATGCGCGTCTTTCGTTTTCCGTCCTCCCAAACTCATAAGGTAGGGATAGACCTTCAACGTGCGCTGATCAAGACCCACGTTTAACATCAAATTTGAAGCTATCAGCATATGGTACCTAAACTCCCATACCATAAAAAACAATTTTCGTATAATTTCTCACGAAAACTCATTTCCAAGTGCCTCGTATCCAGCCGCGCATACTTCAAGAACGCTCCTGCCCATACCACACCCCGGTACAATCACCCTGCCACCAGTGGGAACATATCTAAGATTGGATTCAGAACAGCATCTCAGATATAGGGAAAAATGCATACTTCTTGAGTGCATCAATAACAGGCTGGAAACATTGCCGTCTTTCCTCCTCGCCTTCCGCTGACCATTCCCGAACAAACTGTCGGAGTGTCGATCGGACCTTGGATATGTTACGCGGCTGCGATTGATACCCTACAGATGTATCAACAACCACTCAGAGAGCTGCTATTCACATGTGTCCATGACAAAATGAAAATTCCGAGGAAATTTTGGGAAATTTTCGTTGCTTCCAGCACACTTCTACACCAATTCATAACTAAACTTCTACAACTGGTGAGGACCCCCCTAAGCTCAGCCGAAGAGAGCGAACATATATTCCTCCAACACTGGCTATTCACATGAATAGATCAATTTGAGAATTTTCCGGAGACGATCACAGTAGCGATTCTCAACTTCTACAAGAGCTTCTATCCTGGCACTGTGTTGGAGTTCATCAATAATATTGCCAAACACTCGATGAAAGCGACAAACCTGCTGACCTTTAGGTGGTTTGATGACTCTAGCTGCCGTCCTTGGGCTGGTCTCACTGAACATCTGTGTGGACACTTCCGACAGTAAATGGCAAACCTGAGCAAACCTCCCCAATTTCCCCGCTATAAAGCACTACCACTACACTTAATTGCAACTACAATTACCCGTTGATTCACAGCCATCCGTTCACGAATCTTTCCCATGTACTCTTCCGGGTTGCCACCCCACCTGAGGAGCGCACAGTGAAGATTTTCCAAACACCAGCACATACAGTTCCAGCTCCTCGGGAGTTAGTGACAGCAGACTAGTCTGTAACGTTTCTAATTCAACTCGGAAATCTTCCGTATATCTGCAAACAGAAGTCATGACCCGACAACAACCTTATGCTGCAACGGTACGTTTCGAAGCTCCAAACGACCTCATCAAAATGCCTCTTTTCCTCCGCATAATCCTCAGCATCCAAAGCGCCAACTCCATCATCATCACAACAATTATCCTTCGGCGGCCGTCTACATTCGAATCATCGTCGTTGGTACGAGGCTTGCACCAGGTATTACCCTTGTTGACTTTTTCCTGCCTTTTTATGATGACTACCGCTGCCCTTCTTTTTCGGTCGGGATGGTGCCATAAAACTGATAAACTAAGAACATGGAAATTGCTTCCGTGATGAGCAGTGGAATTTCGCCCCGTTTACGTGAAATGGTACTTCGTGAAAAACCCGATATGCAGTAGTCGTGAAATATACTCCTCACTAGTGTTTTTCATACCACTAGGGTGAAACTCCAGTGATCATGTTGGCAGTTTTTGGGTGGAAACAGAATCATACACTTGTTAGATTTTCGCAGTATTTCTTCTGCATTGTGCCGTTGTCAACCAAAACGGTTGTCCCTTGTTCGGCGAAAGATGATAAAGTTCTTATGTGTGGTTCTGTTTGAAGTTTTGGAGGAGTTGTGTTATTATGTCGGAGTACAAGGCTGGCTATGGTGACGACTCCCTCGATGGACACTCTGGTTGAGTATCCGACGGCCACATCTCAGAGAAGGCTCATGGTAGTAGCCATCTCTGAAATGGCAGTGTCCTCAGATCGCCCGAGCATCTATCGTACCGCACGACGGCCTTGAAAAAAGGGTAGCAGAAAACAAGCGGCTTTTTCTTGACGGAAAAATATCCTCCGTGGGACTCGAACCTGCGCGGGTCCACGCAAAAGGGTCCCAGTGGAGGCACTCTTTGGTCCCGGTGGAGGCACTCGGTAAAAAAGATTGTCTTTTAAAGGGGAACGCGGGCCTACGGCCCGCATAGTCCCAATAACGTCTTATGGCCTCTCCCGCAGTTCAAATAGACTCGTGCAAGTCAGCACTTGAACCACTTTGCGCATCATTTATTATTAAAAAATGACCGGTGCCGGGTTCGAACCAGAGACCTCATTCACTGAGGTCCTTGAGGGAGAGGATGGATGGTAACCACAAAATCTGTGCTTTGCGGTTACAAGTTGTAACGTACAACCCGTTCTCAGCCTCGACCATGGAGACGTTCTGGCTATCCGTGGAGGACTCACCCACACGAATGAGAGGGCTCGATAAGTAAGCGGGTGATGGTTCCGCCTTCTAAGGAGCTTATTGCCATGTCTTTCAGGTTCTGATCACGTCAAGGCTCCTGCCGTCGGTGTTCCCTTGCGGTCTAGTGCTAACTAAATGCACCATTGAATGCATGTATATGGAGGTTGGGAATCAAATATTGAACTGCGAATTGAGTTATTCGAACTAATGATGTTTGTAGCCGAGTTGGTGCCACAAATTGCCTTGATATTCTATGCCTCCTCCGGGAAGACCTCCTGGCAAATGGGCCGATCGAAAGAAATCTTGCTCTCGCACTCTTGATAGAGTCATAAGCCGGGGCAACTACGTTCTCAACGAGGTTGAGGAGCAGATATTGAAGCATCTCCCTCCCGATTTACAGCGTGATATCGCGCGCAGGTGGATCCGCTTGCTCACTCTACAACCTGACGACGGGGGCATTAATTTCGCCGAGGGTTCCAGGTTGGGGCTCGCCACCCGTAGAGCCGACCTAGCTCGTGTGCGGAAGGAGGCTGCGAAGATGGGATCGTATTTCTTGAGATGGTGTGACGCGAACTTGATAATGTGCCGCTCAACAGTCGCAAGGAAGCCACGAAACGCCAATGCTGAGTCGCGATCCTCTGCGGACCGCGGAAGTTCTCGGGGTTCTCAAGAAGCGGAGGTGATACTACCACCTGCAGAGGACAGTGAATATAACGAAAGAGAGTTGGTCCTGTCCATACCTCCTCGGTGTCCACCAGCGGAAGAGGTAGCAAGAGGCTCGGCCATATGGCTTATGTGCTAGAAGCTTCGAGCGCTAGTAGCGCTGCGCTACTCTTCTTAGGCTTCACCAATGGATGAGTTCGCTAACAGGATGAAGAATTGCACGCAGGGTGCATTTAGTCTGGGCATACATAGGGTAGGTCCTGAGTCTATGACCGTTGGTCATCTAGCTTCTCCAGCAGCCTTCCTTGTTCTCATGCCGGGAAGATGGTACCGATGCTACGGACAGTTTATCCATCCATGAAGACGTTGTATTCCCATATTCGAGGACTCCGGAGAGGCCGTCAGATGGACAGGTGAGACGGGTATTCGTCTGATACGTGGGACGCTGGCACAGACAATTCATGCATTTCGCCATCGTAGTAGATCTCAGAGATTCAGAGCCACAGAGCCTCTGACTAGTGATGCAGAGCATTGAGGAACTGCGCTCTCTCTTCCGCTGTGGAGCTCGTTTGGGTCCTGTGATAGCCCTATTTTCTCAGATGCTACAGCCGGAGAAGACTAAAGACGTGGTGGTTGGGCGAGCGCCGCGCTTCCTTGGTCTTGGAAGACATAAGGTAGATTTGTGTGATGCACCGCCTCTGTTATCGCGGCGACATCTTCAGCTCTCTTCTTTATTCTCGGAATCCGAGTCCGACTCGGATGCTGACGCCGTCGCCTCGGACGGTTCTTCCAGCGGAAGCCGTGCCTTACGTGGACAGGATTCCAACCGGAGCCGGTCATACTGGAAGGTTTGTTCGCTTGATCTCACATCTCTCTGATAACTCGGGGATTCAGCTCCGATTACCAGTTCACCCGATTCCGCCTCCCGACTCCCGTGTGCCATCGGACTTCAGAAGCATCAGGTCAGTTCACAGCGGAGCCAAGTCGAGCCAGAAACGGCACGAGGTGAGCCACCGCGACGGTGACGGCGTCGCCAAACGTGGATCGTCGTGGTATTGTCTGGTAGTCAATCTTCTACTTATTGGGCAGTACTCGCGGATCCCGCTACGGGATCGTTCGAAGTGTCGTGAGTTGTTGACGGTCTTTTAGATCTGAAAGGACTCAGACAGTGAGAGTGCCGTGCCGGAGATAATCTGTGACCCTGTACCTCGCGAATCGTGATTCCACCTCTCCTCGTCGAGGATTCCTCGACTAAGAACTAAGCATGCATTCTCGGTAGCGGCCAGCAGAGTATTGAGTTGCAACTTGCGAGTAAATCACAAGGGAGCGTGGCCTGAGTTAATACCAAGTTGCTGAGCAAGCGGGGCATGTATTCCAGTTCACGGTCACGTGTGTGCGGCGGAGTTGCACGTACGTGCGCAACCGGTGGGCTCAATTGACCACTGGTCGGAGTATTGTAGGTTCGAAATGGCGATCCTAGAGAACCACGGCTGAACCCATCATTCACGAGCGAAATATCCACGATTCGGCGAAACCATGATCAACCCATCTCCATATGCGCGACCAGTACAAGGGTAATGATAATTAGTAGGCTCACACTGATCGTGGGCTGCGTTATCGGGGGTTCGCAATGGCGATCCTACAGAACCACGGCTGAACCCGTCATTCCTGAGCGAAATATCCACAATTCGGCGATACCATGATTAACCCATCTCCATATGCGCGACTCGATATCCATTCTCGGGCCGATCACAAAGAGTGCCGACGATCTCCTCCATGAGATTCCGGCAATCCTCAGGAGCCTGGATGCTGTTGAGGGTCAAAGAGGTAGCGCAGAAGATGTACAGGTGGCAGTAACGGCAGATACAGCCTTCGTGCTTGACGACATTCTTTGCACCTACGGAGAGCATTTCCGACCGGGGAAGAAACCAAGCTTGAAGGAATTTTGCGCTGTTATCACGACGGCAAGGATGCTCCAGAACGGAAGGGAAGCAGATGTGCTCGGGATAGACGCAACATTCAATGTTCTCCACACCGACCTCGCCCTCGGCATAGTGTGCCGCTTGTCAAGCAAAGATACGGCCAGGCCGGTCGCTGTAGCGGTCATACACCGGGAATCGACCACGTCTATGCACCACTTACTTACGAATGTGAGGCATTTGAGCGAGAGGCTGGGCTTCGGTGATGCTGGGCCGACCGAAGTTGTAATCGACGGCTCGGCCGCACTCTACCAAGCAGCCACGAAGGCATACCCGGGCCTGAGGGTCCACAGTTGCTACTTCCACGCCATCAAGAACGCAAGAGAGGTTAAAGGGAAGAGTAAGCTTCCGACTCACCTGTGGAACAAGCTACGGCAGGACCTACAAGTATTGGCCAACAGCTTCAGCCGGGAAGAGTGGACGAGGCTTCGAGACCATCTCATAACCAAGTGGAAAGACGGTAAGTCTTTCACTGCACAGAATCTGAATCGACCTGACTCGTGCCCGTCGTGTCACTGACCACGCTTGCCCTCATCGAGTCTCGTAATCTAACCTCGCATTATCCAGTCGACTTGTATGAGTCCATTTTTGCAGGTATCCTCCCAACGCTCAACTTTGCAGCCGACCGTCGCGCACTGAAGACCTTCTTCGATGATTGGGAGGAATACCTGAATCCGAATAAATGGCGCAGCTACTGGGGATCATATACAGGAGAGTTCTCGGGACCAAGAACCAACAACGCGGTGGAGCGGTTCAACCGAGAGATGAAGGAGCGAATAATCCCCCAAAGAAGGAAACTGACATTGTCCGAATTCGCAGCAATGCTCCAGAAGCCAGGCGCCTGGACGACGATATCGCAATACGGGAAGTCTGCTGTTCGGGGGGCACCTAGCAGGGAACTGCGTGCTAAAGCTGCAGTGCTGTACGTCAATAACTCATTCTGTCAAATACCTCGCTCGTGGAGATTCCCTGGACATGATGATGAGTCGATCAGGGGAATGGTCAGATGGCTCTTCGTCGACAGAACCAAGGAGACCGTCCCTGCGGACCTGAGAGATCTTATAAACAGCTCCGACAACGCCGCAATCAAGGGATTCTGCTGTATCCAATACGACTCACTCGACGCCGCCGCCAAGATGAAGAAGTCGTACTCGATCGTCAGCTATACTCGATCAGCGGACCTGGATCTATCGCCTCCCGCAGGTCCTTGGTGTACCTGTCATGGCTGGACCGCAAACCTCGTATGCCAGCATGTTATATGCATTGCTTACAGTATGGGACTCGAGACGTCCGCGGAGGCAATCAGGGACTGGGCTGCTGTGACGACCTCGTTCAGACCACCCCATCAGAAGCGTGATGCTCGTGGCCTTATACAAGAGCCAAGCGTCCCAAGTACTGTTAGGTATGGTCTGCGTACGACAACCAATCCTAAACGAGGAGAGGGGATTGAAGAAGAGCACTCGGTTGAGGCGGCAGAGGCCAGTTGCTCCGAAAACTCACCAGCGGAACAAGCTCCCGATCGAACTTGGGACCTTGGAAGAGATCGAATGACAGAGAGGTCGTCACCTGGAGAGGACGATGGACAGGCGACCCGATTCGCTTACGAAGATGTTACCTGGCCTTCACATCCTCCAGCAGAAGATGATGCTCTGTACTGCGGATGCGGAAGGGGCTATAGTGCATACGTCACAATGATCAAGTGCAGCAATTCCCAATGCCTACACAAATGGTGGCACATAGACTGCGCTGCACATTACGCCACGGCTGCTGGAATAACATCCGGTCACGAAGCTGCACTAGGTAACCGCAAGAGATGGTATTGCTTCAGCTGTCGTGGAGCGACATCCACAAGTCGCTGTAAGGCCTGAGTAATACGGGCGGGGCCTTTCCGGATGAAGCCGGAGATATGATAATCTACATTAATTTTATCTATCAATCATACGATAATCTACATTAATTTTATCTATCAATCATACGATAATCGACATTAATTTTATCTATCAATCATACGATAATCTACATTAATTTTATCTATCAATCATACGATAATCTACGTTAATTTTATCTATCAATCATACGATACTCGACATTAATTTTATCTATCAATCATACGATAATCGACATTAATTTTATCTATCAATCATACGATAATCTACATTAATTTTATCTATCAATCATGCGATAATCGACATTAATTTTATCTATCAATCATACGATAATCTACATTAATTTTATCTATCAATCATACGATAATCTACATTAATTTTATCTATCAATCATACGATAATCTACATTAATTTTATCTATCAATCATACGATAATCTACGTTAATTTTATCTATCAATCATACGATACTCGACATTAATTTTATCTATCAATCATACGATAATCGACATTAATTTTATCTATCAATCATACGATAATCTACATTAATTTTATCTATCAATCATACGATAATCGACATTAATTTTATCTATCAATCATACGATACTCGACATTAATTTTATCTATCAATCATACGATAATCGACATTAATTTTATCTATCAATCATACGATAATCTACATTAATTTTATCTATCAATCGTTCGACTTGTCGCATTCATCGGGATATTCATGTATGAGTGTGCGATGTTCACCCAAAATTACTGTCGCCGAATCAATCTCGTGTATCTAGTATCCTAATGGCGGGCCATGATAGAGTAACCTGATGGCGATGACAATAAAAAGACCCAGATGCATTCACCATCCTACCTTCCGAGCCGTTTCGCCCTCCTGCCAGAGATAGGGCCCTGGTGCCACCGGGCCGGTGGGTTTACATGGTGACGGCCCGCACTGCCCATGATGCCCCTGTGTCACAAGGGCCCTGTCCCGCCATAGGTGACCCATAACTATGACAGCCACCACGAAGCATGATCATGCTATGCGAACGCAAACGCTAGGTGCGCCGCGCAGAGGCTGGGTATGGTTTCTGGTTCGATCCCGGGCCGGGATTCCCGGCACCGGACATTTTTCCGTAATATATGGTCCGGCGCGCAGCCGGTCAACTGTGGACTTGCACGAGTCTATTAGAACCGCGGGAGGGACAAGAAGACGTTATTGGGACTATGCGGGCCGTAGGCCCGCGTTCCCCCTTAAAAGACAATCTTTTTTACCGAGTGCCTCCACCGGGACCAAAGAGTGCCTCCACTGGGACCCACGGCCCGGGTCCACTGCGATGAATTGTTGAAAGTAAATTTATCTAGTTGCGATGCAAGCTGAGATGTAAGTCAAACGTGAGACATAGTCAGGCCGGTTTCATAAGGGTACTTAATTTAAGACGCCTTTAATTGAGCGGCAACTGGAGGAATTACTCAGGGCGTTATTCAAGGCTAAGGCGCAATTTACTCCTATGAAACAGGTCCGTAACGAAGTTGGTAGGATGCCGTTATCATCAGCAGTATATAGGTTGTATAATGACAGTAATACATGACGGTACGCCGCCACCCGATCGGGGCGGCGGCGGCGGTCCTAGACAAGACCAACAGGCAGATAAGAACAGCGAAGGTATGACCCCCCCTGAGGTCGCTATAGAAGGATCCCAGGCCCCATCAGGATCCACATCATCCTTCTCTACCAAAGAGCAGGGAATACGAGTATCATACGTCACTGAGCCCTGCTATGGTGACGTTAAAATATGGTTAAATGGCTGGTGTCTTAGTGGGTAGTACAATATAGAGTAAGTCACTTACCATCCCTTTCCCTCCTCCTCAGCCCTGGATGGAAGCAAGGTTATGGTACTATTATTGCGATTTTGGTGCCATCGGTGCTCTTGGACGTCTTTGTGGCTCCAGTAGGTCTATGGGGAAAGCTCACCTTACTGTTTTCCTCATTACTTTCTCATCAAAATTTATGTGCCAAAATTATGCATAATAATTCTTCCCTAAAAGCATTGTTATACTTCCGGTAGTACATAGGTAAATACTACCTCTGATATATTCCTTCTCTCTGTTGCCATAGTGTCCTATATGGCTATCGATTTTCGCGGTGTTGAAATATACAGGTTTTGCTGTACAGCAAAACCTCTCGGGCTTTCCCATTGCCCTATAGATATCAACTCTGATGGTTTATGGTTGAAATGTAAACGAAGCCGTAGAGTATTTCCTAAAATTCCGTCTGAATTCTCTCATTGTTATCATCATCTGCAATTGACCATATTCGTATTTCCTCACGCACTAGGTTTTCTGTTCAGGACTTCAACGTGGGCGTTATGGTCATCCTAGTTATACTAGAAGTCATAACCCTCTTCCTCCTCCTGAAAACAATTTACTCTGATCCTGGTATCCTACCACGACTGGAATCTCATGGGGCCTATGAGGATCCAGCCACTGGAGAGGTACTCCTGCTTATTGGGCTCTTCCTAGTATTGGAATATAAGTTGCCTTTTTCCAGCTGAGCTCAAGAGTTTTCTGATGCACGAATAAGGGCAGAAGTGATCAGAAACCATCAAGAATTTCCCAAAACTTTCCTCAGAATTCTCATATTGTCACCGACACATGTAGTTGACCATGTGCATATTTTCTCTCCCCTCCCACACACTGCATTTTAGAAGCGGTTTCGGGCTCCTCCCCGTTTGCAGGACTGCGTACTCAGCAACCACCCATTTCGATTAAAGTAATCACTCATAAGGTTCGCTCGGTCAAGGCCGACCTCTTTCGTAGGTATTGCCATACATGTCACCTCTATAGGCCCCCGAGGGCTACCCACTGTGGGACCTGTGATACCTGCGTGACAAGATTCGACCACCATTGTCCGTGGGTCGGTACATGTATAGGTGGCGGCAACTATCGGTACTGCCATTTTATGCAACCAACCCGACCACAATTATTTTCAGGATATTTTATAGCTTTATCACTTGCACAGCTGCGTTGACACTCTTCGGGCTTGGTCTATCAGTCGCTCATCTGGTTATCCTTTCTGACGACAATGGAGGCTTCGTAGGTAGTAGCAGTAGTAGGGCTCCTACTGTGAGGTTCCTTATCGGTTGATTCAGGTGGAGTAGAGGCAAGTCCTATGACCATAGTAGTACTGGTGTATTGTGCCCTATTCATGTGGTTTACAGTGGGGCTCTTCCTCTACCACACTTATCTGGTTCTCACGGCCCAAACAACGTAAGTCCAGCCAGGCCATGGGCCCAGTGGGGATGGAGGCCCCTTTAGGTATGAGCAAATTAAGGGGGTATATTCACTTTCGCATGGTTGCATCGACAATCCCTATTACCGAGGCCCTAGTGGTAATATGATGTACGGCGTCGCTAAGGCCCGACGGAAGGGATCTAAGTTCGATAGGAGGAAGGGGACTGTGGTATTAATAAGGGGAGGTAGAGGCAACTATTGCCATTAACCTCATGAACGTATCATAGGACTGCCGTGGGTCGTAGTGCTAGTATGGAAGTACTTCCTAGTACTCGATCTTGGTCATGAACTAAAGCAAAATTGTGATAATTGTGGTAGTAATATTGTTTTAATTAGTGTGGCCATTGTGACCTACTCTACTCAGTCTGTGATACAGGTGTATTGTGACATGAGGCGTGTGGAATCTGCTCTTTCTCATTTTTATAGAAGTAACCCTCCTGAATATGATGACCTTTCCACTTTACTATTTCCTAGTGATTTCACTTTACTAGTAGTACGTGATAGCTCGTTATTATATCTAAGTTTCGCTGGAGTTTCACTCTGAAGTGGATTATCGCGAAATATTGAATTTCCGAATACGACTGCACCCTCTGCACTCTTGTACATTCCCATCGGTCGTATTTGTGAAGCCTCGTTGGTATAGGTTTTACCATCGACCCTCCCCCCAGTGATATTACCATGCATGCATAGTGGCCTTGATGATGACACCCATAAGACGGTCGAGGACACACCTCTCGAGGACCTTTGTGTAGGTGCCTTTGGTAGGGTCTTTGCCTCTACCGAATAAACAGATAACTACTCCCGAGGTGCCGCATAGGGGAGCATCTCAAGAATCGACCCCAGCAGTTGATCGGACTACGGCTTCTTCAAGAGGCGCTACTGAAGATGATGATACTGGATTGACGACAGGGAATCTTGCGGAACTATCGGTCATGAAAAAAGGTAGCCCAACGACTTTGACGGGATTTGGTAATGGATTTTCAGATTCAGTGGAAGACCCCAGTCCGGTGATAAGGATTCCAAATGCTATAGTGAAACTCGCAGGTGTGGACCTGAATAAGACCGCACTGTGATTACACGATGTGGCTATGTTGTTGCTATTGGCATCATCGTCACTCTCTAGAGGCGATAACACGATGACTATCATCGCTATCGACAGTTCGAACCGATACTCTCAATTTTACTCCATTATAATGATAGAATTTCCTGCCACTTCTCTGTTGTGATTGTCACGTTTCTGCTTTTTGTAATAGACCACTAAGACCGGCGCTGTCCGTCCAACTTGCCTACTTTTGTTGTATTCTCGTCATCATTCTCTTATCATAAGACTCCTAAGTATCAACGAATAGACTTGCTGTTGAGTACCACAGTGAGTCCACATAGTGGTCCTGGACCATAACGAAACGCGTATGATGGGACCAGATAAGATGATGCCCAGTAGCCGTGCCGTGTCCCTCTAAGTGGACAGATGGTCACGGAAGGCCAGATGGTGGTCCGGACCATGGCCTTGGCTGGGCCTTTGAAACTATGGGAGATGGTGTAATTCTGAGCTGATGAGGCAAATTTGCCGACATCACAAAACAATAACGGGTCCTTGGATTATCCCAGTAGGATAGTCGTGTCGTGGGCAGGTCCATCTGATAGTGGTTTATATAAGCCATCGTCACACAAGACTCGACATACGGCAACAGAGTGCTACTTATCTTGTCCTCCTAGAGCTCCTGCCGACCCTGGTGTAACACTAGACACATTCCAAAGGACTATAACTTTTGCTGGCTCAGAGCATTTCTTCTTCCCCCTGTGCAAATCCTGGTCATTGTTGGTACTGTGGAGAACATTGTGATCCATTGAATTGTGATTGTATACACGACCGTACTGGTGAATGCTTGTACGATACTTGAGTGTTTGCAAGCAGTTCAGGAAGCTTATCTCGAGGCGAAATTCACCTCTCGTGCCAAGAAGCTCCAAAGGGCTCTGTGTGCCAGGAGTGGCTGGAATCCTTATAGGAAGTACTTCGTTTGACTTTACATTCTGTACACTCAAGGCTACTTGATTTCTGCGATGGAAGGTATCCGACGCGAACGGTGAGCTTCCCAACTTAGTAACGCATCGTCAGTGTTGTAACAAAAACAGAATTGAGATAACATTACTGCTGCATGATGAAGACAACGGTCTTAAAGAGCGACTTCCACTTCCATGGACTTCACATAAGGTTTTCGATCAGTAGGAATACCCCAATAGCAATCCGTCTCTATGTTGAGGTTATTCTCATCCATCTTCATCCTGAACCATCCATCCTCCCCCCAATACGTCCCCCAACTATTGCGGCCTATCCAATACCTAAAGAGAGAGCTCTCAAGCAACCGGAGATCTACAGAGTTCACTCAATGCCGTCCTCGGAGACACCCCAGCCAGCGACTGATATCTCGTGATTGGTCCCCACCGTGCTGACCTCTTCCTCATATACCTACTATGATCCTCATTCGGCGTTCCTCGCAGGTCTATGACCTACCCCTCCCGTATATGCCTCGAACCTTTCCGTGGCGAAAACTCCACATGAGATCGGACCGTTCGTGAAAATTTCCTTCTTCATATCTTCAACGCCGCTCACTGAGCCGAAGTCGCTAACGTACCACTTGTTGTATCTTCCAAATATACAAATCATCCACTCAGATGATACTCGGAATTACTTTCGGATGGCATGACAAGTGCCGGGCCATAAAGTCTCAGAGGTGTTGCCACCAAAGCACTCCTCACAACGATGCATTGCGTCACACTTTCCCACGTCTTCAGCCAGATACGCCTGGCAGGTTTGATCGGGCAATCCATGGTCGTGAATGTCAGAGAGTCTGCGAGAAGCACTAGTGAGTCACCCAACGTCCAGACGAAGCAGCTACGCTTCCTCAGGATTTCCTCCTTCACAGTCGCCACCATATTCACAGTTGATAAGAACCTGCTCGGACCATCATGAGGGTATATAACAGCGAGCTGACCTGAGGGGCCAAGTTGATCGGCGGCCACGTCCCGTTCCGCTGTATGCTGATCCTATCTGATAGCATTGAAGTCACCGCCTGGGCCCAGCAAGAACCACAGTATTGCGGTATATGCTGAGAATGCTAAGTTAGAGGGCGGAGGCGCCGTCGACCTACCTGGTTTTTATCCCAACTCTTGTAGCTGGTAACACCACTGACGTTCCTCCAATCCAGCGCAAGGGGGACTTCAGTAATGCTAGCCACATGAGGCAGAACTCCACGACGGCTTCTGGAAGGCCGTTGGAGTCTAGCACGCCGACGGCATCCAGCTCGAGAGGCCGGGGCGCCGATTTTCCACATAGGGGGGGACGAGGAAGCGCCTTCCAATTGCACCTATCAGCGGCTCATACTATCATTGGAGTAGTTTCACCCGTGATATGAAAAACACTAGTGGGGAAATATTCCACAGACCATTACATAGCTAGAATATTGAGTATGGTTGAAACTCTATTGCTGAGATAGGATCCTTTCCACAGAGTAATTTCTCAGCAAAGCAAGACGACACTTGCTCACCCTCCTGGGCTTCCCTCCATTCGCCGGAACTGCCCAAGCACAGTCTCCTTCAATGCCCAAGTTGTTCTTTCCACGTACCTAAGGGCCCCCAAGTGAAATCTCCCCCTCCACAGTAGCGCTTCCTTACGATTCTGAAGAAGCCGTTGTGGCCCCAGTAGTGTCCCCATGAGTTCCTTCCTATCCAATACGGTATTCCCTCCGGCGTCGTTCCGTATCCAACCACCGCAATCTCGTGCTCCGGTTCAGTCGCTCCTACCATGGTGCCTTTCACGTTAACCAACACACTCTGACCCAACCCGTCATGTCCTCAAAAACGTCAAAATTGGTGTAGTTCTTCTCGAACGCTTCGGTGACCTGCTACTGCATACTGTCCACAAACCAACGCCACTCGACGTACTGCTATCGAGCAAGCTATAGGCCCACGATCAGCTATCTCTGCCATCATCGCTTCAGTTCCATTCACTTCGCCGTATTCATCTATCTCCCACACCGGGTATCTGATGATATGTAGCTCGGGTACTGCAAATGTGCTACAGCGTAAGTTACGCTGTAGCTGCGTACGTATGTAGGTTACGCTGCGTAACCGGGTCGCACTAAGAGTGAAAGAGTTCTAAGCTCTCTACGGAAGAGTACCCAAAGTATACCAAAATTATACAGTATACGAGAGTATACAAAAACTAGCTGGTGACTATGGATGGCAAGGGAACTCCACATGCGCTACAGCATGGCCATTCAGCAATGAGAGTGAGAGAGTTCTGGCCTGTCCATGGAAGAGTTCCGAAAGTAAAAAAAACCAAATACAAAAATAAAAATATATGTTTGGTTTCCTCAACTGAACTCGACAATATCCTCACTAAATGATGGGAATATGCACAACATTTTAGGGCATAACTATACGAAAACCAACGAAAATTTTTAAATTTTTTCGGAATTTTTTTATATCGTCACCAACACATGTAGTTGAGCATGTGCATATTCATCCACACTGGTTCGAGCAACATCTTTTTGCTATCTGCTCGTACTTGCTGAAATTCACCCGTTAGTCGTAACTTCATATTCTTCTAACACAGAATGGCATCAATTTTTTTCCAGAATTTTTCTGAAAAATTTCCTATTTTTTCTTACTGTTTCCTCGGAAAGCAGCCATTGAAGTTGCAGTCGCGACAAACATCCATTGCTTCACAGGAGCGTCCAGTGTCTCGGCCCTCCGCCGCGAACCTATCCAGTGCTGGTCACCAAAATTCTCACTACTGAGGCGCTCACCCCTGGCAGGTCTCGTCTGGAATGCCACCAGCCTCTTTGATGAATTTAAACGCTGTTATAGGATCTCCACCGTGGCACCCGTTATCATACTCATCGCAGTTGAGAACCACTTGCATCGCGAGATTAGTCTGTTTAGTAACGCCAGTCCTAGTGAGCAACGTTAAGCGTTTTGTTGTCACCGGTTTCGTACATGATATTTATTCTGTCGGATAACGAGCTCACTGCCGCGAAACTCCAGCAGGCCCCGCAGTAGTTCGGTATATGCTGGTTCCTAGCGGCCGACGCCAAGTTGACCCTGCGGGGCCCCTCAGGCCTATAGGGTGAAAATGGATGCCAAATGAGAGATAAACACTCATCGTCCTCACGTGCGAACTGTGGTGTATCTCCAGTCGACGGAATGTGGTAAGGCACCGACTTGCCCGCTAGATAGCAACTCTGTTGGAGTCGGGGATAGGATGAGAGAGTCCCTATAGGGCGACCTGTAAAGTGCCGAGTTTTCAATATTATAGCCGCTCATGTGCTACTTCACGAAGCATCCCTTTCGATGGCCACCAACCGTTGACAGGTGGAGTAGGACGACGATGACCTCCTTGAGAGTTTTCATCGCAGCTGAGGCCTACAAGTTATAGTCCCTGGTCCGAACCAAGTGGTCCACAATTCAACACGAGAAAGCCATCGAAGCAGTTGTCGCCAGGAAACAGCAAGTTTTAAGTGCCAGAGAGAATAGAAATGAATAAGGAAATCAAGCATTCGGTTAATCGTCGTGCACACGAGTAGCATCTGGGTGTCCATATATTTTCAATGCTTCCACACCTATATCATTCGATTCTATTGAGTTCACTGTATCAGAAAGAAAACATATAGCTGTACGTGTGGCAGACGCCATTCTGTACGTCACAAAATATACCGTTTATGTTACTGTATGTCATTTATACTGGAGTTTCACCAACCTAGTGATATGAAAAACACACTAGTGAGGAATATATTTCACGACTACTGCATATCACCGCGAGTATCACGTTTTTCACAGAGTCTTACTTCGCCACCTCACGTAAAACGGGGCGTGAAACTCCACTGTATTTCATACATATAATGCATCATGTCAGAAAACGTGCGATCCGAAGATCATCGCACATGTACGACGATCTCAGAATCGGTTCGCTCATCTCACTATTGGCTCTCACAGTTGTCGCCTCTTGTTATGCTCTTCCGTCAGCCGTCCCGTTGACCCCATGGGGCCTCCAACAACGACCCCAACCCAAAATCCCCTCATGTGAATTCCAGAGCAATTTTACGCTAGTGCGTCTGCGTACAGAAACGTTCACAGAAGAGGCCGCCGTTTCACGTAGTGATTTCTCCCACCCCATAGGCTAATCCTCATTGAATAACACAATGGAAGTGTAACAGTGAAGTCAACTTGTTATCAATCAAGGCTTTTACTCCTAGTTTTAGCACTGCTACTTTCCAGACACCTATGACGCAACTCTTGCTCCTTCTCATCAGGCTCCTCCACCTTAGGCAACTCCGATAACCTAAACCACCAAGCATACCGATCCAACTGACCGGACAAGTACACTCACTCCTCGCCGCCCTCTGGGGTCTCTACTTCCCCATCGGTTATAGGTTCGGGCTCATCTTTCTGTTTCTTCTTGCCGCTGCTGAGCTTCTTTTTGGCATTTTCCTTTTCCTCTTCAATTCTTTTCTCCTCCTCTTCCTTCAACCGTGCTTGCTCTTGTTTCCACGTCATCTTCCGTGAACTCAGATATCTAAGCCGTAAAAGATAGATCAACTTCATTGCTGTCAAAGTCATCGTCACTTACATTCCACATATGAAAAAGCAGATGAGCAACACTACGACGATGAAATCATTGATCTTATCCGCTCTAGTTTTCTGACCTAAAAAAACTTCTCATCAAAGAGGCTCTCGGGGCCACCCATCACTCACTTGCCCGCTCGTGCAGGCGACGCCGCATGTCCGTCTCCGCGATTTCCCGCGGAGTACGTCGCATTTCTTTTTCTTCCAGACACACGCCGTACTGAAAATCCAATCCCTCCATCTCTGCCCTGAGGTACCCCGACCACCTACCCTCCCTGGAAGAGTCCCATTAGGGCAAAGTTGACAATCCCAACCGGAGGGGTCGACTTGATAACCGTAATCACAGGTGATGTACATGTCGTCACTCGTACCATCTTTTCCTCTACCACCAAAAACCACGATCTTATTTGTCAACGTCGCTACAGCAGGGAAGGCCACCGGTTTCGGAAGGTCCTCAGGAGCGGGTATCCACTCTAGGCCCTTCATGCGTACCCAGACATCAGCAAGGGGCTCCGACTCGCAGCCCTTTTGGGAGGCAGAGGCTGTCTTACACACCTGCCCACCGACCAGTACTACTGTGTCCCCATTGGCAGCTACCCCTGGGGCGAACCTAGGCTCCCAACGAGCCTTTCCCCGTACCATGCGCCAGCCAGAGAAGCTCATATCGGAGGGAGTCACCGACCACTCGGAATTGTGAAAAGTCACTTGGGAGTCCACCATCCTAACACTCCTACCACCGAACATGGATATCGTCTGAGAAGCAGCTACCCTAGGGGGCACCGCGTACCCAGACAGGACCGGGCAGGTCTTGGCCGCCGAATATGAACTTATCATTTTCCACCTCTCCAATGAATACAGACTAGCACGCCATAAATCACAGTTGCCCTCCGTCCGTTGGTTCACAAAGCCTCCGCTCAAATACACATAGTCTTCTGCTACTGCCATCACATGGCCAGCCCTACCCTTCCAGGGCGCCGAGTCGATCACCAAGCTCCACTGATTCATCTCAGGGGAGTACTGCCACACATCACTAGCGAGGCCCTCTTGGGTCTCTCCACCGCTCAATAGCAAGGACCCATCATCCAGCTGAGCTACGGCATGTAGCATTCGAGGGGCCCAAGGGGCCGAGGCCTCCAGCTCCACCCACTCGACCGAGTTCTCCGGCCCTAGATTCAATTGCCACATATCGTTATGGAGCTCCTTAGTACCATCACCACGAATAGTACACCCACCGATAAGGTAGAACGATTCCTCGCCAACAGGGATCAGCGCCCCTCCGTACCTCCCCGAGGGCCCCGACGTGCCCACCAGTGGTTTGGAGAACCTTATGCGGCTGGGAACTGCGAACAGCTCCATCTCGGCCCCGAGCGTCGCCGATACGCCTACAGTACAGAGTAAGGCAGAAAGTACGAAGAGTGCTGCTGATGAGGCACGGACGAAGCAAAAGCTCATATAAGGATTGGAAAATCAACAACACTAAGGGCGAACTGATATCGACATGGAATACAAAACAATGAAAAGGTGAATTCTTTATCTGCTACAGACTTGTGCCGCCCCCCTAATGAGCTAAACACAGAAGTCAACTACCGCACCATGAGCCAATCCAACTACTCCCCAGGTGACTCTAGTAGTCTTCACTCATCGAGACACGGCGAAGTGCGAAACACCCTAACCACAAAAAGGATCTGAGAGCAGCCCTCGCTTCCCCTCTCCCCAAAGAACAAACATTCAAACTCTGTCATCGTAAGAGACCATATGGACAATTTAGCGGGTGGTGGTGGTGATAGTAAATCTCATATTCATCCCTGCTATCGTCGACCATAACCTGACAACACAAGGAGCCTTCTTTCCAAATCCAATCGCGACAATTACGCGAGATACTACACCCACCACCACTTCTACTACTACTACTACTACTACTACTACTACTACTACTACTACTACTACTACTACTACTACCTCCTCCTTTACCCCGCATTTCCCTCCAGTACTCTGCCTCATCACTGCTAGCCGGCTGTCGAGATGAATACTCAGCCGATTGTCTCGATTCTCTATGGCGCCGAGACTCCGACCTTTCATATCCCCCTTCTGACAACAGACCCCTCACTCACCCCCCTACCAAGACTACTACTACCTCCTCCTCCTCCGCCTCGCGACCGATCATCCCTCGACCTACTCCTATGACCACCTTCCCTCGACCGTCTACCACTACTGTATCTAGAATCCCGGCTCTCATCCCTGTGGTGATGCCCATGATGCTTCCGTCTGAACTCCTCTCGAACATGTCTGGCCTCTTCTGACGGTTGCCAGTACCTTCACCACGGCCAACCAAAAGTACAGCATTCCCAGGTAAAATCAAATTTTCATAGACAACTTTTTTCACTCCTTCGGCCAGCATCTCACAAGAAAATTAATGCTCTACCCGGTCTCTTTGAAAGTTTGGGATTTCAATTCAACCAAGGACATGCGCAACGATGAACTCTTTTTTCATTGGCGAAAAAGTTAATTTCAGAGCTAACGGTATCACTATTCACTCACCCTCGAGATTCAAGCCAATCCTCGATCTGCATAGCAGCTTCCCCCACTAAATCGATTAACTCATCACGCCTGAGGACATCACAATGACTCACCCAGCTGCCGTGACCCAATAGAAACTACAAGGCTATCATCACCAACGTATGTGGTGTCTACGCAGTCAACTGACAACCTACATCTATCTACAGAATAGATCTATGTATGAAATAATATATCCTCTCGACGTATAATGTATGGAAACCCCTCCAATAGATCGAAAAATCGACACAAGCCCGGCTAGACGTGACACAAGGAGAGTTTTTATGACTATGATGATTGTCATCCATTTTCATGCAAAATGAGTTCTTTTCGTCCCTTGTTCAGCCACATATGACATTCACTAGTCCTATGCGAATCTTAGCGCTAGGGCCTATATATATTCATTCATTATGTTGAATAAGCTTCCACAAAGTCTTGCGTTAATCCCCTATCATTTAAACTTTTGGGACAGAATTTCCAGAGTCGCCCTTTTACTACGATGACCATCCGTTCTATTTCCTTTTCTCATTATACACATAACACTAGGCATACGATACGGCAATTAGCAATGCTCACATGCTTCCCACAACGTTGAGGTCCATTCACCCGACTTCTCTACCTCTCAAGACCCTACTCCTACCTCGTCCGCATCGCCCCTGATATCTGCGATCCAGGGTTGCCAGGGAGCAACGGAGTTACATGTCGACCTATGGTCATGGGCTTGCCGAAAACAACATCAGTAGGAGGATACCTACCAATAATGACAGTTTTCTAACTCCTGAAAATCAAAACCAAAATCGTTCCCCGTACTACAGCTTGACCGTCTCCTTAGACTTCTCTACCCGCACTACTCTCCCACGATACGGTATCTCCCCCACTCGTATCGCCTCCTAAAACGATGATCTACAACGGGGGAAGATCACTGTAGACGATTTGCTAGTACTGGTAGAGATGATTTTTGGGAGAATTTATGGTAGAGGATACTACCTGAGCTGCCGCCTCATTCTGGAACTCCACCAATGCAAACTGGCATTGGTCATAGGGTGACTAAAATGACAAAGTCATGGATGAATGCCGCGACTGGGGATCGAACCGGGGACCTTGTGCTTACCACGTCGATAGAAGATTCCTTAATCTCCCCAAAATGTCCGAACATGCCTCGTACTTCTTCTAATGTAACTTGATTCGCCAGTCCCGATACGTATACCTGTGCATATTGCCTATCCCATACCACTCCTTCGCCGAATCACACCTACCGTCCTCTTCAATATCATCTCCTCCCCCGAGTCCCTCACACCACCTCCTATAGTCGTTACTCCAACGCCTGGTTGTGGGCGAATCTGAAAGTTGCTATATGCGACCAGCAGCATCACCAAGAACGAAATCCGCTTACACTGGTGACAGAGGCAGCAAGCTGTTGGGCCGCTGGAACACCCTGAAAGATTATCATAAGGAGCGGTAAAGTAGGAAGTCTAGTACGAGGTTGGGCAAGGGAGCCACAGCAGTAGCAGAGGCATTGGCATCTACAGGGTCGGTCACTGACACTGTTAAAGGGACCTGAGGGGCGGTCCGAGTGAGCGAAGTAGGCCATTGCTTACCCCATGGAAGGGCTGCCCATTGAGGGAATGAGCCGCTGTAACACCATTGGAAGTACCGAAGTCGACACGGGCGTATCTGGGCACCAAACTGCGTACAACTACTACTACTACTACTACTACTACTACCACTACTACCACTACTACTACTACTACTACTACTACTACTACTACTACTACTACTACCACTACTACCACTACTACTACTACTACTACTACTACTACTACTACTACTACTACTACTACTACCACTACTACTACTACCACTACTACTACTACTACTACTACTACTACTACTACCTTAGACTGGTCCCTGGGAAGGTCATGATCTGTACGTTGAGGACCCTATCCAGCCTCGAGAAGAGGTCTCGAAGGTTCTGCTCATTTGCCTGTACCGCTAAGTTACGGACGAATATGGTATTAGTCTGTCCCTCCATTGGCGACGCCACAGGAGGAGATGACCACGATACTACTAAACCCTACGGAGGTAGTTCTGGTAGGTACTCCAACACAATACCCAGTTGAACCCAGAGAGAGAAAACCAATAACGACCATAGCAGTATAAGATGTAGTGGCGATGTACATACGGCTACCTGCATTCTAGTATGAATGCACATATTGTTCATTGACAATCTACTACTGAAAGCATATATAAACTGTTATGACAAATCACCACCCATACACAGGGTATGATCACGATCATGTGACTTGACCAAGTGAGTATGGACGAAGCTCTCACTGACACGCCTTCCCTTGTCTCCACTTGATAAGTGCATAGTAACAGATCGATGTAATAGTATTGAAAATGCAGTGCATTAGTCCAAATATTATACATTCACTGCATGCCGATAGATTAACATACATATCCTCGTATGACTAGAATGGGTAGAACGTGCGACATCGTCGCAATTCACTTTTAGTGGCCTCGCAGAGGTTGCCTTAGTCTTACTGGACTTCCTCTAACTCAAAAACTACTTCTCAAGGCGTACCGCGAATGGAAGAATCCTTACCGTAAAGTGAACACTTCCTTAGAATTTTCCATTTTCAAGGAATTCCTCCTGTGCCTCTTTTTAAGTTATAAGAAGGCGATCTTTTTCTCGAGGTGAGCCCCTTACGTGACAGGGCCACAGACCCCTAGTGATCGCCTTCACGCTGCTGACCGTAGGCATCAACTATGCTGCGATTTTACAAGTGAGATTCGGGCAACCGCATCAGCAACGACTTGGTGGTGTTCGACAATCACCTCACATTGTAAAATTCAGGATTGCTACACCGCTCCCTATGATACCTTTTTAAACTCTCATCGATTTAATCACAGATGTAGTTCTAACTTTCAACTTACTCCGATCACATGTAAAATGAAACTACGAAGGAGCTCAGAGACGATCCTACGTGTGACGCAATTCTATGAAGCGATCCTCAGCAACACACTATGTCGGGTTGCAATGAGAACGACGACGTCGACATTGGCTAACGCGAGGCAGAGGAGAAGAAGGGAAACTTGAGCCAAGATGGCACCAGTTAGTGACAAATAAACTATAGCTACCTCGAAGTAATCGTGCTCTAAGTCCCGCTATGTGGCTGCGTCGGGCGGAGAACCAGGTTTCACCAACTCGCCAAGCTTGGTGATTTCGGGTCCTAATGAACTCTCGCCAACACGCTCAATCATGGGATACGACCGCTTCTGGACCATATTTCACCTCTTTGGCTAACGAATTTCACCGAGAAAAATCCATCTTGCTATCTTGCTATCTCTTAGTGACATCACTTACGTGAGCGTTACCTTTACAGCATACTTAAGACCATCATGTGGCTACTTGAAACTACCCTAATCATACTGAAGTAGTCCCTATTAAGCAGACAACAAAATTATCTATAACATTCTAACTTTTTGATGTCTTTCTGGAGAGAATTCAGCCTAAACGCTCGATAGTAGCATGGAGACAGGTTTAGCTTTTTTGCACGCATGTACATAGCGCGAAGATATCCGCTTCGTTGATTGATCATTCACTCATCAAAGTTCAAACACAATCTATCAAATACACTATGTCTTCCTCTAACAAGGCTCCCGCTATTGGCATCGATCTCGGCACTACCTATTCCTGCGTTGGTGTATGGAAGAACGATGCTGTTGAGATCGTTGCTAACGATCAGGGTAACCGGACTACGCCCTCTTACGTGGCCTTCACTGATACTGAACGGTTGGTTGGCGATGCCGCTAAGAACCAGGTGGCAAGGAACCCCGAAAACACCGTCTTTGACGCCAAGAGACTGATTGGTCGCAAGTTCGATGATTCCGTGGTTCAGCACGATATGAAGATGTGGCCATTCAAGGTTACTAGAGGCGCTGACGACAAGCCGATCATTGAAGTCCAGTATAAGGGCGAGAAAAAGCAATTCCATGCTGAGGAGATATCCTCTATGGTGCTCACTAAGATGAAGGAGACTGCTGAGGCCTTCCTAGGTGGTAAGGTTAGCGATGCTGTCGTGACCGTCCCTGCGTATTTCAACGATTCCCAGAGGCAAGCCACTAAGGATGCCGGCTCTATTGCTGGCCTCAATGTCCTCCGTATCATCAATGAGCCCACTGCTGCTGCTATCGCTTATGGTCTCGATAAGAAGGGTCAAGGTGAAAAGAACGTCCTCATCTACGATCTTGGTGGCGGAACTTTCGATGTCTCCCTATTGACTATTGAGGATGGTATCTTCGAGGTCAAGGCCACTGCTGGTGATACCCATCTGGGTGGTGAGGATTTCGATAATCGTATCTTGGAGTTCTGCATGCAGGATTTCAAGCGTAAGAACCGTGGCAAGAGCATTGAGGGCAACCAGAGGGCTATGCGTCGTCTCCGTACTCAGTGCGAGCGCGCTAAGAGAACCCTGTCCTCGTCTACTCAGGCCAGCATTGAAATCGATTCTCTCTTTGAGGGTATTGACTACAACTGCACTCTGTCTCGTGCTCGGTTCGAGGAGCTTTGCATGGACTACTTCCGTAACACCATGGGTCCTGTAGAGAAGGTCCTCAAGGATTCGGGTATTGACAAGAAGAGCGTCAACGAGGTCGTCCTTGTTGGTGGCTCTACTCGTATCCCCAAGGTCCAGTCTATGATCAAGGAGTTCTTCAATGGTAAGGAGGCTGCTAAGTCCATCAACCCCGATGAGGCCGTCGCCTACGGTGCTGCTGTACAGGCTGCCATTCTCACTGGAGAAGGCTCTAGCCAAGTTCAGGACTTGCTGTTGTTGGATGTGACTCCTTTGTCTCTCGGTCTTGAGACTGCTGGTGGTGTTATGACCAAGCTAATTGAGCGTAACACTACTATCCCCACTAAGAAGACTCAGACATTCACCACCTACGCTGATAACCAGCCTGGTGTGTTGATCCAAGTCTTCGAGGGTGAGCGTGCCATGACCAAGGACAACCACCTTCTGGGCAAGTTCCAGCTCGAGGGTATTCCTCCGGCTCCTCGTGGTGTCCCTCAGATTGAGGTCACTTTCGATATTGATGCCAATGGTATCCTTAACGTGAGCGCTCAGGATAAGTCCACTGGCAAGAGCAACAAGATCACTATCACCAATGAGAAGGGTCGTCTCTCTCAGTCTGATATCGACCGTATGGTTGATGAAGCTGAAAAGTACAAGGCTGAGGATGAGGCCAATAAGGAGAAGGTTGAGGCTAAGAACGCCCTCGAGAACTACTGTTTCAGCATTAAGAACACTCTGATGGAGGAGAAGTTCAAGGAGAAGCTCTCCAGCGATGACAAGTCCGCCATCGAAAAGGCTGTTGATGATGCCCTTTCGTGGTTGGATAGAAATCAGCTCGGTGAGAAGGAAGAATTTGATGCTAAGCAGAAGGAGGTCGAGGCTGTTGTTAACCCCATTATGATGAAGGTGTACCAGTCTGGTCAGGAAGGTGGTGCTGCTCCTGGTGGCCCAGCTCCTGGCGCTGGTCCCGCTCCTGGTGGTAGCAGTTCCGGTCCCACTGTCGAGGAGGTCGACTAAAATTTTCAAGTGTACAAAAAATACACCGTCTATAATGATTGTTTAATTTCAACTAACCACTTGAGGCAATGCCTTCTACTAGTGGAAACCGAAAGACACAGTAAACACCCTTTCAGTAATACTGCGTAATCTGTACATCTCCCCTCTTGAGTTGATAATATTGTCAATGTGTTTGGTGGTTCTCTAACATCTCGTTATGGTACGAATCGTTTACATAGATCCTTATTTAGTGAAGAAGGTCCGTGTTGCTGTAATGGTAGATAGCAATTGTACGTAATTACTTCATCAAGTGAAGTGCAAACACAAAATGTTTTAATAAGACACTTCAGGTATGCTGTACCATCACCAAGTCTAATCTTGGCTCATTCGGACAACTTCGTGGCTCTGAACATCTCACAGAGGTTGTGAGTCGTTTCGTTTTACGGCAGAGGTTACGATTTAACACTGGCTGCGAGGGTTGAGTGGAACGGAAAGGTCTTCATATACCTTTTGAAAGGTGCGGATAAACCGACATGAAGCCTCGAATCTGCCCTGTGTTGCTCAAGTCAACATCGTCATAGGTTTCCCCTCAACAGCGTACCGCCGGCCACTCCTACTACTTCCATCACAAGCCGATGTTGGTGGGAGGCCTCCAGTTCCCACCAACTCCTTCCGCAAGCTCATGATGGCGAGGCTACCATACAAAACAGCACACGAGAAAGAGCAGAAAAAAGTGCGATGTGCTGTAATAGTAGTTTGACGTACAGAACCGCAGAAGTGCGGTTTTCTACAACTAAAAGTCGCAGGTAACCATTACAGCACAAAAATAAATCGCACTGTCAAAAGAGCGGCTGCGCTCTTATTTACGAAAAATGTGTTATTATGAAATCGCAGATGCTGTTTTGTATAAAGTGTGTATGCGGTTATGTATTTTGAGTGCTCTTTTGTCCGTTGCCCTTTTCATACATAACAGCAATCGCGATAAGTAACGTGGCGTTTCGATCGTTTGACGGCGGAGCGAAGTCGTCACTCATATTGTTTTACATTACTCGCCGTAACATTGTTTGCTTGTCTTCCAATGGGAAATTTTTTCATTATCAGTTTGCGTTATTTGGTTCCTATGCCTAAACCAATCTGCTGTCATATTTGCAATCGCGGGAGCGACTTTGGGGCGATGGCCGATTGTGACTCGTGTGGTATGAGAATCCATATTGCAGGGTGTGCCTATGAGGCTGTGGATTTTACTTCATCGCAGCGTTATGTATGCCATCGTTGCGAGCGTCAACGGAAAAGGTTCCGAGGAAATAGTACAGTTATTGAGCACTTGATTCCCGCGTTTCGAAAACTTAAAATCAAGTGTATATCGAATGGAACAGAGTCAGCGCGCCTCATGAATGTAAGTATATATTGCTAAGTAACGCTGGCTGTTACTTGTTATTTGTTTGATAAAGTTGCACCTTAAATTGGATTGTTAGGAGAAATTTTTTAGGATCTCATATCACCTTGCAAGCCGAAACCTTCTCGGGGTGCCATCGAGCAGTTGTGGAATAATACAGGGCAACAACAAACGTCGGTGGGAATGGTGAAGTAGTGACTAGTGCAATTCATCTCCTTGTATTGTTGCGTGAACACAGTACGTGTAGAACATCTATGTAACGTAGTATCAACAAAAGCATAGCGGAGCACGCGCAGCAGGGAAATTCCATAGCAGATGTGAGAGACAGATGAAGACCATGTGTATGCGCGTGGCACGCACATAACAGGAAAAGCGGCAGAAAAACCACACAACGGACACATTTCGCGTATGATAGGACTGAAAGAAATGAAGAGCTGCGTAAGTACGGACATCGTCAAAGTATCGTCCGGGTGATTGCAGATGAAACATCACCCAGTGAGGAATTCATACTTCCCGTAGCGGAAGAACGCTTCCAGAATGTAGTACTTTCCGGTAAGTTAATCTCTCTTATCCGCCGATGTTTTAGAAAAAATGCGAGAAGAAAAATAGAAATGAGCAGAAAAGTGGCAGAGGGGCGTATGCCATAATGTATTTCTGCCGAGAAGAAAATTGAAGAAGAGCAAGTTCTAAAAACATGCTGAAATGCATTTCTGGCTAAGAGAAAAGAGCGTTTCAGCAAAAGTGCGGTTTTGCATAATTTCATAGCGCTTACGTAAATCAGAGTGCTATTATGTGTGATAAGAGTGCGATTTTGTAAATAGCTGGCGCTGTTTTGTCGTTTAAAAACAGCAGACACATAAGAGCATGTGCGGTTCTTACGGGCCAAAATAGAAAACAGCACTCCGCTGTTGTGCTGTTGTGCTGTTTTGTATTGTACCGGATGGCGAAAGGCTGGCGACGAACTCCTATTCGACCGATTTCCGCGCTTTGACGCGTCACGCGCCATAAAATTCTACACTTCCCATCGGATCCGATGGCTATCACTGAACGCACTCCGT